CTTTATAAGGGTCTGAACCTGTGCTGAAGAAATCAGATCTTGTACAGTTCGTTCATTCGTGTCGATGGCAAGTTGGTGCTGGTATATAAGTGAGGGACGCCGTTAGCTCGATTTTAAGCAACCTTCGGAAAAGGGAGCCATCGACAGACTTGCTTGCTGGTGGTTGCTGTAGAAACATCCCATTACTTGGCAGATTTCCGAATGCCTCTGTTTCTCAAGGAAAGTGAATTTTGGAAGAGTCTGTTCGAAGGAAGTAAATTTTGGATGGGTCTTTTAAAGGGAATCTTTAAAGCTATAGCAGTAGAAGGAAAGCAACAAAAATTTGGTCTATATCACGATTAATATGCTGTTAGATTCTTTAAATAAGCTAACGAAGTTTTGCTTCTGCTTGTGCTTTTCAGTCGGTCTTTGTAAAAATCATTCGTTCAATTTTGACTCAGATTCTATGGGAATTCAGCGGTTTTTTACTAAATTTTGCTTGATTTCTTTGGGAAATTAACGGAACACACGCGCTGTTAGTAAACTCCGTTTATAAAGTGCAAAGAAAAACTCTGTAAATTTTTTGACGTTTGGTCAAGCGTCTCTAAGGATTAGCCATTTCTTTTCGGAAAATCATGATTTCTAAGTTAAAATCATGAGAAAATCTTATATGTTACTTTGTCATGTTGTGAACTCCAATTGTACAGCTTCATAGATCATTAGAAGTTATTCAAAATGCTAATTAACAAAGTGATTGTTAATCCGCTTTGCTATCCGTTTGCGTTGCTTGTTCTAAGAAAAATGCTTGTATCTCTTCGTCCCACTGTGTGATTTCTCAGCTTATATACTAGAAATCTCGTTAAGCATCGACGTGATTACCTTCCACTTCAAGCAGGTGTGCCAAGAGGAGTCTAGTAATATTAAATTTAAAAAGCAGAAATAATCGGAAGTATGTCGGGATATGACTGCGTCTTGAAAAATCAATTTTAGCAAAATTTTTACAAAAATGCGATTTCCACACTAATTATTTAAACGTTTTGGTATACAAT